GGGTGCTGGGCTCCCGAATTCCCAGGCTGGCGGCGGCGGCTCCGGTGTCTGGTGACTTGCCCCAGGAGACACAGCATGCTGCCTCTTCCTTCACAACCCCCTCACCCTTCCCTACTTCTTTTTATAGTACTTCCTACTTTTTCTTGTTTTAGAAATATGGAACACTTTACGAATTTGCGTATTATCCTTGAACAGGGGCCAAGTGAATCTTCTCTATGTCATTTCCATTTTAGTGTTGGTGCTACCGAAGCGAACACTCTCTGATTTCCTTAGTATTATTTTTATTATTTACCACTCCCCCACCCGCCGTCAGAGAACCAGCTCTTTGACGGCAGCCACCTTGCTTGTTCTGTTCATGGACATACCCTTCCAGGTGCCTGGTGTGTGCTGGACACTCATGTCTTGCTGGAATAAATGAGTACATGGGTGGCGCTCTTATACCCTCCTGGTGCTGTGGTACCCCCTAGAAACTGCCTACCCCCACATATTCCTCTCTCTAGTCCCTTATATCCAGCTCCTCCTGGACTTCTGAATGTATGGAAAACCAGCTCAGTTCTGCTCCCTGTTTATCACTGGTCCCTCTTCTAACCTGTGGCTTTTACCTCCTAATGTTTTAAAATTCATTCTCTCTTATCTAATCTCATTTCCTCTCACTAACACTACTTCACTGGCCTGAATTCAGTTGGGCACCCGGCTTATCCTTACAGTTGCCCTAGCCTCCCTTCACGCTTGTGGTGCAGGACCAGGTCTGAGCCCTCTAACTACACTAGGGCCTCTACTGACTCTTGGGCCTCAGTCTTTCCTCTCCCAGGAGACACAGCAAGTGCATATTTCTACACATGCCTTTGGCTCTGTGCCACACTCCATCCACACCCTCCCGTTGGCCCAGGACACTTCCCCTTCCCTGCACCTGATTGACCCTCACACACCCTTCAAGACTTGGCTGCATTCAAGTGCTCCTCTGTGTGTACCTCCGTCTCACCAATTTTTTTTTTTTTTTTTTTGAGTTGGAGTCTCACTCTGTCAGAGTGCAGACTGGAGTGCAGTGGCCACT